TGTATAAAATTCGAATGAAATGTTTATTCTACATTTGCAAATGGACTTTGCAGTATAGTTTCCTAGGCTATTTTTTTTTTCCCAAAATAAAACTTCATTTTGGTATTTTCCTAACTCTTTAGTATTCCATATTTGGTTGTGCCTCTGTTTATGTGTAGTTGGACACATATTTTTATGGAGTTTGAATTAAAAATAATACCTTCACCAAGGCCTAGATTAACTGCTTGTTGGAAGCCAGTAAGGGAGTAACAATAGAGAGCATTTGCTGAAGGTTACACCTGGTAACTCTGGGAGGAGATGTTTCTCCAGGACCCTCAGTGCCAGCGGTCCTTCAGTATTCTCATGGTAGCCAGGAAGCAGAGCAACTGCAAGTCTGGCACGAAGCCTTTGTTTTCCAGTAGGAAAAGTAAACCCTAGATATTTATTGGAAGGTCAGGGCCATTACCATAACTAAAGAATAAGTTTTATAGTGTTGGTTACAATGTTGCTACTTTATACATATGAGCACACGAGTAACAAAATCATAGCAGAAACACTTGCTTACAAAAGCGTACTTTTACTACCCACTTCATATATATATATGCACACATATATATACATATATATGTATATGTATATACATATATGTGTGCATATATATATGCATGTATATATATGTGCATATATATATCTATATGCATGTATATGCATATATTTTCTGACTTGATATGTTTTCTTTTTCTGTTGTTTGGGACAAAGACCCCTTTTTGGTTGTCCTCCTTAAGAGTAAAGAAATTCTTCAAAATTCTTTACAACTTTTCTCAGCACTTCAGGTTTTGCATTTCAACAGGAACTGAGATAAAAGGTTTTCTCCTAAATAATAGAAGGCTCTCCTCTTTAATATCCCATAATCCAATCAGAAGAAAGGCAGCAGCTGCCAAGGGTATTTCTCCCTTTCTCAGAACTATTCCTTCAGATGGTTGGATTTCCAAAGTCTTTGGAAAACTCTTTATGGTACAGAAGGCTTATCCAGCCCATTTATGTCCGATGTGTGTACTTTAGAAAAAAGTATTAGAACTAAACCCTTTTAATCTGTATGCTTTTTGGTATTTATATTGTGCTTCAGCAAAAAGTCCTATTTAATAAAAATGGGCACCGAAGGCGCTGATTGACCCCACTCTGAATATAAATCGAAAGCCTGATGAAAGCTTAGCATCGCTGCCCCTTGGGTTGTCCTGCCTGGTACTCAAACCCAGATGAAGAAATACTAGGTTATCAGCACTCAGAAACTCAGACGGCTACCATGTGGTCTGATGAAACTTTTTTTGTGGGGGAACAGAGTTTTCATCTTTGTTGCCCAGGCTGGAGTGCAATGGTGCAATCTTGGTTCACCGCAACGTCCGCCTCCCGGGTTCAAGTGATTCTCCTGCCTCTGCATCCTGAGTAGCTGGGCTTATGGGCATGCATCACCACGTCCAGCTAATTTTGTATTTTTAGTATAGATGGGTTTTCTCCATGTTGGTCAGGCTGTTTTCGAACTCCTGACTTCAGGTGCTCTGCTTGTCCTGGCCTCCCGAAGTGTTGGGATTATAGGCATGAGCCACCACGCCCAGCCTGGCCTAATGAAACTTATCTAAGTAGCTTTAGTCCTTTCTAAAGTATCCACTAACCTGACTTCAAGAGCATAGATTAATTTGCCTGTTCTCGAATTGTGTAAATAGAATTAGGTGTTGTGTCTGACTTCTTTCACTCAACATTATATCTGTGATATTTAACCTGCTGTTATATGTGGCAACCATTTAATCTTTCTTTTCTGTTGTGCTGTCTTCCACTGCGTGTATTTTCCACATTATATTTATCCATTCAACAGAGGATGAAGGTATGGGTTTAGTGATATTATTTATGATTTGTATTAGTTTTCTAGGACAGCCATAACAAAATACCAGATTGGGTGGCTTAAACAGCAGACATTTATTTCTCACAATTCTTGAGGCTGGAAGTCCAATATCAAGGTGCTTGCAGGTTTGGTTTCTCCCTTTTCAGGAGGAGTCCTCTCTTCTTGGCTTGTAGACAGCCCCATCTCCCAATGTCCTCATATGACATGATCCCTGTGTGCATACATACCTGGTGTCATGCTCTCTTTTTATAAGGACGCTAGTCATATTGAATTAGGACTTCATCCTTACAACTTCATTTAATCTTAATTGCCTCTATGAAGATACTGTTTCTTAGTACATACAAATTACAGTTTAGGGCTTTGACATATGTATTTTGATGGGACACAATTCAGTTCATAACATCATCTCTCACAGTAGATTAATTTCTGTTTTCTAGAATTTTATATAAGTGACATCATAATATTTATTTTTCGTCTAGCTTCTTTTATATTGCATATTTCTTTCAAAATTTGTTCATGTTGTACCATATATCAATAATGTATTTATTTTTACTGATAAGTGGTATTCTATTGTATGGATATGTCACAGTTTATTTATACATCTGTTACTGGACATTTTGGTCATTTCTAGTTTTGGCTTTTATAAATAAAGCTCCTATGAATTTGAATACATATTTTTAAAAGAATATATGTTTTTAATTCTTTTGTGATAATATGTAGGAGTGAAAATGGCTGGGTTGAATAGTAAATGTGTTTTAACATTTTAAGAAATCACCAAGATGTTTTCCTAAGCGATTCTATCATTTTGCATTCCTACCAGCAATATATGATTATTTCAGATTCCCCACATTCTTGCAAACAGTTAATATAGTCAGAAATTTAGCCATTCCAATAAGTACATTGACTGTCTTATCATGGTGTCAATTTGAATTGTCTTAATGACTATTACGGTAAGCATTGATTTATATAAATACTTGTTATTAATATATGTTCTTTGGTAAATTATCTGCACAAAACTGTTGTCCTTCTTAAAAATAACTGTTTGACAATCTTTACAAATTCCAGATAGAAATCCTATATTAGATATATGCCTTGCAAAGTGTTTTCATGCTCTGTGATTGTTTTTTTAAGTTCTCTTTTAGGTTCTGATCTTGGTCAACTCTAAATTGTTCTTTCATACTCACAACACCACGTCTTGTGAGTCATACCTCGGAAATATTTGTCAAGCCAAAGGTC